GGCCTACACTACTGGGTGTACTCCTCCGCTTCCGTCAGTAACCTGTGGCAGTTAGTGGAGACATAAAGGCCATGTTTCACCAGATCCGCCTGCTCCCTGAAGACTGCCCCCTGCTACGGTTCTTGTGGAGAGATGGTGAAACAGAAAGGTTGCCAGATGTATATGAGTGGAGAGTCTTGCCCATTGGGACAACGTGTAGCCCCTGCTGTGCTACGTTTGCTCTCCAGAGACACGTGAGGGAACATCAAGACACTCATAAAGACATCTATGAATCCGTCCATACAGCATTTTATGTGGACAACTGCCTGCAGTCCCTTTCTGACCCACAAGAGGCTAAGTTGCTTATCGACAGGATGAGAGAGTTGCTCCTCCAAGGTGGATTTGAGATAAGACAGTGGGCCAGCAACCTCCCTGAAGTGGTTGCCCATCTGCCCAGTACAGCCAGGTCAGAAAGCTGTGAACTGTGGTTAAATTTCAGTAGCCTTGATCCCCAGGAGTCAACATTGGGGCTCAGCTGGCACTGCCCAACTGATGTCCTGGGATACAAGCATCGCCCAGTGTCCTATACAACTGTCCCACTGCGCAATATTTATAAGGTGCTAGCCAGTCAGTATGACCCTCTGGGTTATATCTGTCCTTACACCACAAGAGCAAAGCTCATTGTGCAGGCCCTGTGGAGTACAGAGAGAGGATGGGATGAGCCCATAGAAGGAAATCTGCTTCAGTTGTGGATTGAATGGGAGGAAGAACTGTCTCATCTCCAGCATATCGCCATCCCTCGCTGTTACAGCCCTCACAGCATCACGGGTACTACAAACGAGGTTCACATCTTCTGTGATGCCTCCGAGAGATCCTATGGAGCTGTTGCATATCTGAGAACCACAGAGCAACAGGCACACATCTCGACCTCCTTCATCATGGCACGCTCAAGAGTTGCACCCCGCAAGCAGGTTTCGATTCCCAGACTGGAGCTGTGTGCTGCGTTGACCGGAGCCCAACTAGCTAAAGTGCTCCAAACTGAGCTTTCATTACCACTCCACTCCATATATCTATGGACGGATTCTACTACAGTGCTGCAGTGGATCCAGTCCAGTTCCTGCAGGTACAAAGTTTTTGTTGGGACTCGGATTTGTGAAATACAGGAGTTGACCTCCCCAGAGCAGTGGGGGTGTGTGAACTCTGATGAAAATCCGGCTGATGACATCACAAGAGGGAAACTGCTGTCAGAGCTCACCATCTCCAGCCGCTGGTCACAGGGCCCACACTTTCTCACAAAGAGTCCTGACACCCATCAGGAACCCCCAACAGAGTTTTTACATTGTGGCAGTGAAGAACTCAGAAAGACTGCTTTTTGTAGCTTTACATCTATATCTCAAAATCTACCAGATCCTGCACAGAGCAAATCATTAGAGGACCTGCTTCTGGCCACTCATCAATCTCTGCATGGGGCGGCTGCCACCTCCTTCACTGCTGAGGAGCGTCTGGAGGCGGAGAACAAGCTGCTTCGCTCTGCACAGGAGGACAGCTTCCCAGAAGAGGTCAGAGCCCTCCAAGCCGGTGACTCTGTGCACCCAACCAGTCGTCTTAATGCTCTCTCCCTGGAATATGACAGCATCAGTGGACTGATCAGAGTTGGAGGACGCCTACGCCAAGCGATGGATGTAGATTTTGACAGCATCCATCCAGTTGTATTAGCTCCTGATCATCCTCTTACTCGACTCATCATAAAGCACTACAACGCTCAGCTATTCCACCCAGGTGCAGAGAGACTCTATGCTGAAATACGCCGCACATATTGGATCCTTAAAGGTCGACAGGCCATTAAGAAACACCAGTACCAGTGTGTGGACTGTAGGAGATGGCGCGCCTCACCTTCCACACCAAAGATGGCTGACCTTCCCTCAGCTCGCCTGAGAATCTACAAACCCCCATTCTGGTCTACAGGAGCAAATTGTTTTGGACCCTACCTAGTTAAGATTGGACGTCGAAGAGAGAAACGCTGGGGGATCATCTACAAATGTCTGACTACTCGATGTCTTCACTTGGATCTCCTCCCTAGCCTCGACACCGACTCTTTCCTGATGTCTTTATGTAGGTTTGTTGCTCGCCGGGGGAAGCCGTACGAGCTGTGGTCTGACAGAGGCACCAATTTCAGGGGAGGACACAAAGAACTGCAGAGCGCCTTTGAAAACATGGCCCCAGTGTTGCAGCAACAGTTAGCCAAACAGACCATCAACTTCAACTTCAATCCGCCGCATGCTCCACACTTTGGGGGAGCTTGGGAAAGGGAAATCAGGTCAGTCAAATCAGCTTTACAAGTTGCCCTGAAAGACCAAGTTGTGGCGGAGGAAGTGCTTCTAACAGCTCTCATAGAGGTTGAAGGCATCCTTAACTCTAAACCTCTCGGTTAAGCCTCCTCTGACGTGGCTGATCCAGACCCCATCACACCAAATCTTCTGTTAATGGGGCGGCGTGATGCAGGACTACCGCAGGCAGTATATGGTTCTCATGATGCCCTGTCCAAGAGAAGATGGCAACACAGTCAGATCGTCAGCGATCATTTTTGGAAACGCTTTATCCAGAACTACCTCCTAGGACTTCAGTTACGACAGAAATGGAGGAAATCGACTGAAAATACTGCTGTGGGACAAATTGTGATGATCGTTGATTCCAACCTTCCCAGAGGACTGTGGCCTGTTGGGATCATCACGAAGGGTTTCCCTGGGAAGGATGGCGTTTTTCGAGCTGCTGAGGTGAAGGTTAAGGACAGTATCTACATCCGCCCGGTAACCAAACTGGTAGAGCTTCCTGAGGTACCTGAAGATTTGAATACTCCTTCAAACTAGCGGACTTTGCATGAGTGTATTTGTTGCAAATACAGGGGCGGCTGTTAAAAGTCCGTCTGTTTCTTTAGTACCACATTACCCATGATGCATCTGTTCATCTTGTAGTTCTAATTTTACGTAGCTGAATAAGTTGTGTTTTCCATGCTTCTGGGTGGTTCGGTGGCACAAAATAGCATCCACCATTAATCCTACTTCAATCCAGTGTGTATGAAACCTGTGTGCGTTCTTTACGATGTAAGTATACATTTTAAGTCCGATATTGTGTTTTTTTCTGTCAGTTATTAACCCAGGAGGTTAAATTGTTCTTTAGTTTCTCTGGTTACTGACAATGCAAGAATATACTTATAATATCTCAAGTTCTTTGTTACACTTTGCTAGATATATTTCCATTTTATTAGTAAATGAGGGCATCGCCATTTATTTCATATTTTCCGACGGTTTTGTCAGTTAAATGCTTATTACGTTTGATCAATAATGCATGTGTGATGTGATGGCGACCTCTAGTGGATTTATTTGGTATTACAAGCCAATTTCATCCTTCATCTATATGCACATGTTTTGCCTGCATAGCTATAAATATGCATATTTATTGTTTATTCTGTTTCAGATAACCACACATCCATATACATATCCCTAAGAAAAGCAAATATAAACCTCATCATCTGTACCATCATCTCCAATGTACCTTTTTCTATTCCATTAATAAACCTTTTGAGCTGCACCGATGGAGTTGGCATATTCCTTCTGACCGAGGAAGATTCAACTGATGAGATATCTGGAACTAGTGCATCTAAACGCACACAGTCTTCTACAATAATAATCTCTGTCATGTCACAACTTAAAATACCAAAACTAGTTCTAAAATTACTTTTACCTTAGATTACACATATATATTCAGAGTAAAAACTACTTAAACTGAACTCAAACTGGATAAAATATATATGCAAATATATATTATATTTATATATAATATATATGATATATTTTGATATTAAATAAATTGATAAACACAAAGTTTTATATTATGTTATAAGATTATGTTTTAGAAATATACATTTATATTCTATATTATTGAGTATTTTTAAGGATTGCTCTTTGATAATGAGTATTCTGATCTATAGAGGAAAATTTGTTGTAATGCAAAGTAAATTATTTTTATTTTATGTACATTTTTATTTATTTTTGGTAATTTGCAAGACTTTCTGGCAAGGCTTTTTGCCTAAACTTCTTCCAAAACTAATTTTTTAAACTATATTTAATCAGTTAATGTGTGTCATATATATAAATATATATATATAAAAAGCAAACTTAAAAAAAAAGAAATTAGAGATATTACAATAATCTTTTACATATCACAAGAACTTAAAAGACTAAAACAAATTCTAAGATATAAATATATATATTTATTGTATATTCATATATTATATATGACAAATATTAACTGATTAAATATAGTTTGAAAAAGAGTTTTGTAAGAAGTTTAGACAAATTTATAAGGACTAAAAGGCTTTAGTTAGACAACATAAATTTACCATTCACTACGATTTGACAGAAAGTCCTGAAAATGACAATAAAAAACATAAAAAAATTTACTCATTTGTAAATCACATTACAAATTTTCACCTATAGATCAGAATACTCATTAAAGAGCAATCCTTAAAAATACTGAATAATAATGTAGTATACAAATATATTTGTAAAACATAATCTTATGATATAAAACTTTGTGCTTATTAAATTATGAGCACAAAAAATATGCATATATTTTATCCAGTTTGATTTCAGTTTAAATAGTTTTTAATCTGAATAAATCAGTGTAATCTAATTTAAAGGTAATTTTAGAATTAATTTAGGTATTTTAAGGGGTTTTGACATGACAGAGATTATTGTAATATTATTTCTGACTCGTCTTTTGTGTTAATAAAGTTAGATCCTGTTCATTCTGATTGCAGCTATCTGAAATGCGGTCTGATCCAAGATGGCCGCCCTCTAGGCACGTCGGCCAGCATCCAATGAGGCATCTATGGATAAAATGATGGACTTCTGCTCAGCATGGTGATCATTTTATCAGCTCTTTGAATCAGGATTAAAACTGTCGGTGGAAATCTGTCAAAGTGAGACCTCTTTGTAAAACAAAGACAGGAATCCAAAGAATCAGTGTCCAGCAGTTTTTTTATTCAAACATCGGATCTTTGCGTCATCGATCCAGAACTTTTTATTTAATGTAAATAAACAGAACCAAATGGCGGCGAAGCCACTTTGAAGAAATACGAACGTATTTACTGCCGTGCCTTCGGACCGAACATAGTTCCTGGCAACTTTTACCAGGAAGTGATGAAACGGAACGTCTGAGGCGAAGCAACGAGGTTTTCACAGTTTTCCCAAAACTCATCTCAACCAACAAGCTGAGATTTAATGAGTCCAAAACAACAACAAACATGGCAAAGATCCTGCAGCGGGTCAGGAGGAAGGAGCCAACAGTTCGGCGCTCCCTCCTCTTCATCAGTTCCCAGCTTCGCTCTGCCGATCCCGTCCAGCAGGACGTCGAACTGATCAGAAACTAATAAATAATCAATAAATAAAAACTCTTCATCGCTGATGAGGAGCATCTCAGTGGAGGTAAAGTGACTTTATTCGTGGCTTTGATCCGACTTGGATTCACAGCGACGGGCTGGGCAGCGTGTCGCCATCTTCCTCCTCCTCCTCCTCTCTTCCCTCCATCCAAGCGTGAGACAGGATGTCCTCCAGGGACGGACGGTCCTCAGGACGGAAAGAGAGACACCAGCGAATCAGAGCTTGGCATTCTGCGGGGGGAGAGAGAGGGCGGAGCCAAGTCAGCGGCTGAATACTCCCCGAGCAGCTAGGAGTCAGAAGGGGCGGGGCCTGTGTTTACCTTTAGAGACGCGGCGCGTGAAGAAGGGCGCGGCCCCGACTATCTCCTGGTCGCGCTCGAACGGGATGTCGCCGCAGACCATGTCGAAGAGCAGCACGCCCAGCGACCAGACGGTGAGCGGGACGGCGTGGTACGTCCGGCTTTGGACCCACTCTGGGGGGCTGTAGACCCGCGTACCTGCATAAAGAGAACGTTAAAACCCTGCCTACTTCCATCATCATCATCATCCTCCTTCAGCTCCATGCCGCACCTTCAAACTCGTCGTACGCCGAGTCCTTCAGCAGCGCCCCGGACCCGAAGTCGATGATCTTCACCTCCAGCGTCCTGGTGTCCACCACAATGTTCTCGTCCTTAATGTCTCTGTGGACCACTCCCTGAGAATGGACGAACTTTAGCGTCTCTACGATCTGCCTGAAGAACCTGGAGGGGGCGGAGCAAACGCAGGACATCAGAAACTCATTCCTGTAGGAGGAACGCCCAGGTCTGACTGCGGGAACCAAACGGAGACACACCTGAGAGCCAGGCGCTCCGGCAGCGCCCCTCGCTCCGTGATGAAGTCAAACAGATCCTGGCACTGCGGCGGGCGCTCCATCACCAGCAGGAAGCCCCGCCCCTCCACCTCGAACCAGTCAAGCATCTGGATCACGCCGCCGTGACCCCCGACCTCAGAGAGCCGCTGGAGCAGAGCGATCTCCATGGGAACCGGGCTGAGCTCACCGGGCTGCAGGGAAAAAATAAATTCATATTAATAAAACAGCAGGACGGGTCAGAACAGAACCAGATCAGAATGAAACCAGTTTAGAACGAAGCCGGGTCGAAACAGAACCGGATCGGAACAGAACCAGTTCTGAATAGAACCAGGTCGGAACGAACCCGGGTCGAAACAGAACCGGATCAGAACAGAACCAGGTCTGAATGGAACCGGGTCAGAACAGAACCGGTTCATATTCAGGTTTCAGAATCTCTCCGCCCTGACTGCAGGTGTTTATAGGGGGGAGTCCCAGTTAACGGAACCAGTTATTTTCTTTGGGAAAATCCGCTCCAAATGACGTCACAGGTTTCCGCTGGAACCCCCCTAACAGCTGCAGTTCAGCTGCCCCACCAGCAGGGGGCGGCAGCAGCTGACTGGTTTCCCTGATCGAACTGGAGGGGAACTCACCAGTCTGGCCCACTGCTGGACTCTGTCACTGGAGATCTGCTTGATGGCGACCTGGAGTCCATCTGAGATTCTGTGACCCGAAAACACGGAACCGAACCCGCCGCTGCCGAGCAGCGGGCCGCAGCGGTACTGTTTGCTGAAGGGCTCCTTCCCTGAGGGACACAACATAGAAACACATCAGTTAGAACCGCAGTTAACCTGGAGTCTGCTGACATTTAGCAGAAAAGGTCATAAAAAAAAATATTCCATCTACCCACGGAGGGGAAATACAAAAAAACAAAACAACAACTAGTGGATCAATTAATCAACTTCAGCCGGAAAAAATAATAGAAAAAAAACAGATTTTTTTTTCATTTATTTTTTTAATCCATGAAGGGAAAAATAAAAAGTAACAAAAATGTGAAATTGTATGTGAAACTGTTATATTAATAATAAAAATAATAAAAAATAATAAAAAAAATAATAAAAACAACAGCGTAAAGGTCCTGGCAGGTCAAAACTGGACCGGAAGTGAATCTATTCTATAAATCCTAATTCAGCAAATATCATGCTGGCTTTTAATAGTTATTTTTTTAAAGTAAATTATTTTAATGTCATGTAAAAACTGTTAAACTTGAACAAAAAGTGGCGCTTTAAATAGTATTGAATAAATTCTGTCTGAACTAAAACTTTTGTTTTTTTTAAACGTTGGTTCCGATGCAGAGCCGCCAATCAAAAGCCAACTTCAAAGCCAACTTGAGTTAAAATAAAAAAATCTTAAAAATCCAAAAATAAAAGCAACAATAATAACGATAAAAAAAACAACAAAAAACTTTTCAGTTCATCTTTTAAATCCTCTTTTCTTACCATCTTTTCCGTCCACCTTCTCCTCCACATGCGGATCCGCTGGTCTTTTCTCAAACATTTTCCTCCCTTTTAATCAGTTGAAGAACATAAAATCCATCCTTAATCGCGGAACTCGTCAGATTTTAACGGTCCAGAACTTTTTAGGAGAACCCGTCTGAAGCGTCCTGGTGTTTCCCGCTCGATAGGTCCGGTTTAGGTTCGGAACTGCCAGGAAGTTCGGTTCTGTTGCCTAAATATCTAATATTGAGCTTCTAGCTCAGCGGCAGCTCCTGCTCCTCCGTCGCTGTTTTCTTCTGGTTTTATATCCTCTCTGCGCCCCGCCCTTTCCTAATCCTCCCATCCAATCAGAACCTTGCAGTGTGCTCAATGTTTTGAACTGAGCAGCCAATGGGATTAAAGCTGTCGGCTCATTAATATTGAAACGGCGCGTAGGGAAGAAAATTCGTAGAATTCAGAACCTCGAGGCGGGGGGGAGGGGGGGAGCTAACGCTGATGAACTGACGGGAAGCAAGCGGCCGATTTCCTCTCAAACATCAGTGCGCGCGCGAACACACTAGCATAGAAACCACCGCGAACACGCGCGCTTCTAAAAAAAAATGGCGGTTACTCCGACAAGCACGCGCAGCTTCCTGTCAGTTTGTATCTGATGAAGTAGGTGAAGCGTTCAGGGAACTTGTTGGGAGTCTCACCCAATCAGTCTGTTACTCAATCGTTTAAAAGATGCTTTTAATAATAATTAGTATTTTTTAAAATATATTAATTTCCTTTCAGAATCAATACATTGGTTTTTTTTTTTTATTAATTGTATGTTAGGGTGAAATTAACCTACTGTGATGAAAAGAACATTTGCAAAAGAGCCAAAAAATAAAAATAAAAAATTGCATAATAATCTTATGCAATTTTTTTTTTTTTTGTGTGTGTGGGTCTTACCAAATATTTCTTGTTTTAGATTTTTACCTTTTATAACATAATCAGTCTTATTTATTACATTGCAACCACAGTTTACAGGAAAAATAGGCTGATCTGAGATGATTCAGGTTCCTTTGCACAAACTTCCACATTTCTAAATTCCCTAAATAGGCCAACAGACATCCGTCCTCTTACAGCAGAGGTACCATGAAGGCATCATGATGTCAGCCGCAGGATGTTGCGTAGTTTACAAGATCTGAAGTCACATCTTGCATCTCCAAGAATCACATTTTATGTTAACAGTTTAAAGATAACACATAAAAATTCTCTTTATATAATGCATCAACTATTTGTGTGTAATCAAATTATGCACTGGATTAAAGTCAAGATTTCTTGAAAAAACCCAAACCTGGAATTTTTTGTTTATAAATATTCATAAAGAACAAACCCTTCACTGAAATTAAAGATCAGTGCTTGAAATGTTAAAGTTTTTACTTGAACATTTCCTCCTGAAGAGGAACCATAACATGCAGATAAGGAGAAGCTAAGATCCTGAACGCATCGTATGTGGAGGGAAAACTGAAGCTGTTAAAATGAACAGATTAGAGTCGAGCATAAACCTGCTAACATAAGATGAGGAAATAATTTCTTCCACCTGGATCAGGACTTTGAGGCGGTAACCTGGAGGTAGCGGGTCATCCTCGGGTTGCCGGGGGAACATGGAGAATCATGGAGAATCTAAAGAACTACAGCGTTCACATTTAGCAGCAAACTTGTGTATGGACAGAATTTGTTCCTTTATTTTTAGAGGCAAAGAACACGTTTTGTAAATGGAAATAAACCAAAAACTTTAAAAAAACGTGTTCTTTGCTTTTGATGATCTGGATCAACCTGAAGAACCACAGAGCGAACAGAAAACTCTTCCTGCTCCATTCAGAGATTTAACATGTTGCTCAACATGAAGTGCTTTCTTCTTCTTCTTCTTCACATGAATGTTTGTTGCTCCTTAACCTGAGAAAGATTCACGGATCTGAGGAATGTCTGAAGTTCTGGATCGTCGGCTCCTGGTCGGCGCCGCGTCGGGTCGAGCCGCCGGACCCGGGTTCTGAGGAGAGCCCAGTGGGTGGAGCTGAAGCTGAACAGACATTTAAAGGCTGGAAACATGAAGCGCAGCTACTTTTCAGAAACTTCTTCCTCTTTTTATTCCAAGAAACAAAAAAAAGTTTTCATCCCAACTGAGAAAATAAAATAAAACAAACTTATATTATTAATAATAGCAACAATAATCAATCATTAAGAGGATAAGTATGACAATTTTCTATGTCTTCTCCTTTGAAGTCGTCATTTCTTCTATGATGAGCTCGGCTGTTTAACATGCAGCTAAATAAGTCTGATGATGAAGGTGATGATGAGGAGGCGTTTCTATCCGCTGCGCCCTCGCTGGGAATGATCGGCGCCTAACAGAACATGATAAGACTTTTGATCGCCGAGCAGAGCCGGATGGCCCCCGGACAGTCCGGCTCGGGTCGGAACCGCGGGGCCGACAGCCTGATTGTGAGAACAGGAACTAAAAATTCAAACTGCTGGAAGCTGTCCACATTTAAATAAGAACTGATCCCGGATCAGCGCAGGGACCCAGCTCCGTCTCAGAGGGAACCAGGAGGGTGGGGGGCGGCGGCGGCGGGCGTGAAGCGGAGGATTTAGAAAACAAAAAGAGTGCATTGTGGTTGGATGGTTTATTTTCTCCATGTTAGAGCTCCGTCTGTGGGGTTGGGTCTGAGGTGGGGGAAGTAGGCAGGGCGGGTCCGGAGCGCCGTCACCCGGCTATCAGCTGCTGTCCGGCGACGGCTCACGCTCTCTATGCATGGCAGCGGCGGCAGCGCTCTGGTGTTTGATGGTGTCCAGGTATTCTTGCTGGGAGACGGCGAGCACCGAGGCCAGGATCTCGTCGTCCTCCCAGTCCGTCAGACCTGAAACAGAGACGCCATCGTTAGGAAGGAAACCCGGTCCAAACACTGAATACTTCGTGTCGCTACCCAGGAAGGGTTCTAGCTAACCTGAACCGCTGGTAGTAATAACACCTGGGTTCACGACTTTCTGTAGCGGCACCGACCCATTACCCAATCAGTGGTTCATCCACAGCAAAAATAAAATACATTAGAAAATAATCTAAAAAGGGGCGCAACGGGTTGCTCATGTACCGAGCCTTCGGACCTCTACCGGGCCGCCACAGAGTCCCAGCCTGGTGACCTTTGTGGCATTGGGTGTTTTGGTAGATTTGGTCGTCTGCGTCAGATTAGGTTTACGTTCTGATAACAGAACCTTCTCACAGGTACCGTCTGGACTTTGTTCTGTAGAGCTGTGAGACTTTCTGTGCTGCTGATGTTCTGTCAGCTCAGCATACGGCGTCAGGCCAGCATACCGTTAGCATGATCGCTATTAGCTGCTGGAATGGCTTCAGATTGTGCCAGCAGGCTCAGTAGGTAGTTATTGAGTGAATCCTAATCCTAACCTAAAGTCCTTCCTTCCCCTAGCAGAATTATTTGTAATCTGAAAATAACTTTATTAGTTCTTCATGTACTGTTAAAATAAATAAATAAAAATAAAATGATCTGAATGCGGATCATATTTAACAAACTAAAGACAAATAAATCTCATATCCTGTCAACTGGGATGTAGAATCCTATCTATATAAATATTTAATTCTCTGTGAAAAAGTGCCGATCATTCTTTAAAGTCGTAGGGAAGCGGCTGTTCCAACCGTTTCATTTCCGAATTCTCCTGAGTGGTGCCCGACTTTATACGAGTGAATAAAGTGAATGTGATTGGTCGATTATCAAAGGGGCGGGATTGTTGTGGCGGAAGGTTCGCAAGCAAGTTTGGTTGTGGCCGGTTTGTGGGAAGCATCTTGCTAATCAGTTAGCAACTTAGTGCTAGCAGGTTCCCAATGGGAAATTCCATTGGGACCAAGTAGCACTAAATTGGTGACTTAGAAACGACGCTGTCAAAGAACGCTATGGACAGCGGAAATATGCAAGAGGAGGAGAGTTTAGTGTCGGAGGTCGTGGATGAGTCTCCTCCGTCATCCATTTTTTATTTAGAGGAGGAAAGCGGGGACGAAGATGTTGTGGAAGAGGACGCCAGGGCGGCAGAAGCTTGGTTTGGTGTAGAAGGCTTCCAGCCGTACATGTTTGAGCCCTTGCCTCGCAACGCTGCCAGTTCTGTTAGCTCTACGCCTGCCGAAGACACAGACGTCCATCCCCGTGAACACTGGGACGCAACTCAATGGGAAAGGAAAGGATTCTGGTTTCAACCGTTGCGTAAATTAGCTGCGACATATGAATCAAGATGCTATGACCGAAAACATGTGATTGACAGATGATCGTTGATAAATGATTGGCTGAATTTAGGTGTTCAGGCTGACGTAGAACTAACTGGCCTGCAGAAGAAAACGAAAAAAAAAAAAACAGATTTTAAGACAAGATTTTAAAAAAATATCTAAATTAAAGACATTTATATACATGTTTAAACCAGAATGATTTGACATGTAAATATGATTTCCCTATGATTTTAACTCCTCATCAAACTGAGATGAAATTTTGTAGTGAATGACTTTTTTTGTTGTTTTATGCACAAAACTTCTACAAAAACCTGACTAAATCGGGAAATAAAACTGATTGGCTGTAAGGAGAGTGGAGACAGATGACAATCTATGTAACACTTATTACTATGGGTTTGCTGAGGTGACAGAACACTGGTTCATAACGATCCATTTAGAAAACAAACATCTTATCTGATCAAGCATCTGATCCCTTTGGATTCTGGATCAAAACGAAAACCACCAACAGAACCAGAACCTCCACAGAACCAAACAACAGAACCTGACTGATGAATCTGGAGCTGCAGGTTGAGACATCAGCTCTGAGTTTATGAGTAAAACTGGAAACTTAACAATGAAACTCAGAAGGTCTGAGATGACTGGCTGGAAACAAAGAGTTTGTATCTCTGTGAGGACCTGCTCCTCAAGTTTAGCTCAGAATCTGTCTGGGAAGTGGAACCGTTAAAGGTTGGACCGGCGAGACCCGTGTCTGGGCGTGGGTCTTACCGAACGCTGTGGGGGACATCTCCTGCATGATGGCTCTGTACTCCAGGTGGCGGCTCTGGTTGCTGGGACCTGAACAGAGGAGCATAAACAGAACCCTTAAAGTTCTGATCCAGTTCTTCTCGCAGTGATCAGAGAACCTTTCATAACATGAAATGGATTAAAGTGACCAACTTTGGGATGACTGTTTTTAGTTCTGGTCTAAACCTGAGCTTCAACAAAGCTAAGATTAAAGGAAAAGTCTGGTCAGACTCAGAATCCAAACTTCTGAAAGTTCTTTAAATCTGAAATGATTCCATCCTGTTCAATAACTGATCAGTGTTTTTAATTCAGAGTCATTTTCATGTGAATGTGCTTTACTGGAGGCATCCATGTTTGTCAAAGAACACTACTGCCACCTACTGGTTAGTGACGTCACGGTGCGGTATCGGCTGTTGATCAAGTCCCAGTGCTGTATCTGGTGTTTGTCACAACACGCTATTATCCAAGTCATCTTAAAAACATTCTTCTTCCAAATGTTGGCTACATATTACGGGTTTTTTCTCGCTCCCAGACTCAGTGATCGCAAAGTAAATTAATGTTTTTATTCTTTTACTGATTAATGCTAAATTCATTAAATTACCACAAAGGTATTAGTTTTAGGTATAAATAATGATCCATTGATTATTCTTTGCTGACCGGACTTTTCCTTTAAAGTTTACGCCTTATTTAGACCTCTGATAGAGTCCTGATAGAACCGACTGCCCTACATGCATGAAACAGTCCTATTAACCAGACCGATCACAGATTTCTAAGCGTTTGATGCTTTTCTGATCATTCCTTTTGGCTCACGTGTTTAAAAAAAGGGAATTTTATTCCGTAAAAACTTAAACAACCTGTTAAGTTCAAGGGTCGCCGGGTGAGGAGCTGCTCAGGATAGTTACCTGGGGCGCAGGGCGACGGCGGTTTGCTCAGGATGAGGGCGGCCCCGGCGGGGGACGGCGGCTTGTTGTTGGTCGACGGGGCGGTCGTGAGGTCCGAGTGAGAGGGGTCGGCGTCCCGTTGCCGTGGTGAGCGGGCGCTCCAGTCGTCCAGCCCGCTGGAGGCGGCGGCGGTGGCCGAGCTGCAGGTGGCGCTGGCTTTACGGGGCTGGAAACAGAAACCAGGTCACAGCGGAAACAGGACGACGGGTCGGTTCTGCCGGGTCCACGCTTCCTACCTGCCGCGCCTGCTTCTCCTGGTCCTGCAGCCACTGCAGGTAGGACTCCCGGGCCACCTGCTCCTCGATGGCTTCGTTGGTGGCCTCCCAGTCCGTCGCCCTCTTCTTGTCCTCCAGCATCTGCTGCTCGATCCACGACTCCTCTGACGTCTTGATGGCCGACTTCATCAGCGACTGGTCTGCGTACTGGGAGGAAGAGACAACCGTCGGTTAGAGCTTCCATTCGTTCTGGAGTCCAAAGCTCCAGAACGGCTGTGCGGCAACAGCAGGAGAGGAAATGAGAGTCTGGTTTAGTTTTGGTCTCTGGAATAATGAAGTGGTTTTTGTGTGTATTACTGCAGGGTTCTGGTGTGGTTCTGGTACCCCGGGTTTGAAGGCAGGCAGTCCCAGTCCCACCCCGATGGTGGCCTTGTTCGGGTTCACCACAGAGTTGTAGTGGATGTTGCGGTGGTAGCTGACTCTGATTGGCTCGTCGTTGTTCTGGTGGATGCCGTGGAATGTGTTGATTGGCTCTGCAGGAGGAAGAGGAGGACGATGAGGATGAATCAGGACCAATGGGATCCGGGTCCGTTTGGGCCCACGGACTCACCTGTGCTGTACTGGTACACCTCCACCGGTCTGTTGTACATCTCGGCCATGGCCTGCATCTCGATGTGGTTGCCGTGGCAATTGTTTTTCCTCTTCCTGTTGATGTATGTGGTGAAGTCTTCCGTCACGTAGTTGGAGAAGTAATCTGCGTTCTTCATCTGAGGGGGAAAAACGAGCCTCGTTCACGATGCCGGCAGTTTGCAGCCGATTGGCCGAGGGGGGGGTCACGTGATCGGACAGAGCGACTCACCAGGTAATCCATGCAGTGCTTCCTCACCACCTCGTGCATGTCCTGATCTCCGTACACCTGATCGGCTGGAAGCAAACAGAAACCAGACGGTTTGAATGAAGCCAGACTGCAGTCCTCTGCTTTCAGCTAAAACTCATAGCAACCCAAAAACTTCAACTTCAAACAGATTCAGGCTAAGCTGTTGCTAATCGTTACCATGCATTCAAGGTAAAAATGATAACATCTTATCTCGTAATTATGAGATAAGCTGTCTGATTTATTTTTTCCTTGCTTCTATAAATTATAAAGAAAAACAAAAAGCACATATCTACTAAGTTTACCTCTGGTACCTTCATGTTTGATGTAGGGCGATTTAATTAATCCAATTAATTGGATTAATCGTGATTAATTGATTATTGAAATAATTGTCAACTAATTTATCAATCAATTAATCTTTAATTGGCGTAGAGACTCTAAAACATGCTTTAAGCTGACAGAGCGACACACTTAGAGCAGCAATTATATCAAGATTTAGATTGAAAATTTAAATATATCTTTTTCGTCTGTCAATCTGCTCTATAATCCAGAACTCCTTAAGTGGAAAAGTTTTAGTTTCACCTGCTTTAATTTCATAAACAGTCTTCTTTAAGGAACCTTTGGTTATCTTATTATTAATTGATTTATAACAAAAAAAAAATCAAGAGATTAATTGTTTTGCAAAATAATCGTTAGTTTTAGGCCTAATTCAGATTCATTTTATATTCAACTAATGTTCATTTGAAGTTCATTTAAAATAAAAACACTAATCTATTTGGCTTTGCTAAATAAATAGAAGCTTCAATGACTTTGGGTGATTTTTAAGAGACAGAAGGAAAAAGTTCATTGATTTTTAATTGAAATCAATTTGAAATCAATTTTTTCAACAATCAATTTTTAATTGTTTGTGGCTTTTATTAATCTCAGAATCATCATAATATCATCCTGGAGAGAAATATCAGCTGTGCTGCTGCCATCAACACCTTTGTTTCTAGATGTTGGAGCTTGGCCTGTTTTCCAGTGTAGTCCTGTTTCTCTGACTGTGACTAACTGGATGTGCTCTCTTCATCCTCTGACATGGGAGCTGGCTCGGAGCTCGTCTGCCTGGCTGTGTGTTTCCTGGACGGGGCCGCCTGTGGAGCTGGTTGACAGTTGCCTTTTGTATCTATGCTTCTTTTTCTATGTCTGCTTCTGTCTCCTTGAACCCCAGTGGGCCTCAGCAGATGGCCGCTCACACTGAGCCTGGTTCTGCTGGAGGTTTCTTCCTGTTCAAAGGGAGTTTTTCCTCTCCACTGTCGCTACAACACTGCAAAAATGATCTTGAAATAAGTCAAAATTTCTTAAATTAAGTGTATTTACCCTGAATTTGAGTAGGTAAATAAGATGATCTGCAAATGGAATGAGTACTTTTATTCTTAAAATAAGATAATTGGATAATATGCACTTAAAAAAGCATATCTCTTACCTCTGCAATTCAACAAAATTAACTTATTTTAAGAAAAGGTGACTTATTTAGATTCATTTTTTTCCAGTGAAGCATGCTTAGTGTGAGGGATTGCTGAAGAGTCAATGAGTCGATGCAATCAGCTGGTTTTCCTTTGATAGAAAACTTTGAATCAATCTGACTGGATGATCTGGTGAACGGTAAAGTGACCTGAGATGACGTGTTGTAAGTTGGCGCTTTAGAAATAAACTGAATTCAATTGAAGATCTGTAGATCCTCTAAAAAAGAAAAACCCAACACTGATGGCACCTTCAGGTTGGATCAGTTTAGCTTTACGAATGTAGATGCTTTTCATTCAAAAAACAAAACAGCGTTTCAGAATAAAACCCTTCAGTCTGCATCCTGCACTTGAGCCCAATGTCTGAATCAGCTCCTCAGCATGAAGACAAGTCCTGCTAATAACCCGAGTTTTACATCAGAGCCACGTCTAAACGTTTCAGGACCTCGGCCCTCCAAGACAGGAAGGTTTGCAATAACTACTGCTTTGTTTCCTGCAGGAATCTATGAATTAATCAGCCATCAGTTTGTTGAGTTTTGCAGCTTTAAAAGCTGATGGAAGACATTTTAAAAAGATGCACAATCAGGCCCTAAAAGGAAAGAAAAAATTTACATTTGACACTTCTTCCTTTTTTAGAAGCATAAAAATACACTGAGCAGAAACTAAGAGTTAAAAACAAAAACACAGAGACGCAGTTCCTCCCTGCTGGGGGTGTCGGTATGTAAATGAGGCTTAGTTCAGTTTGATTTCCAGCAAGTCACATGATGTGTTACCGCGGCGATTCTCAGAACCCCCCAACAGCTTCCCTTTCTCACATGTGGTTATCAAGTGTGGGTTTTTGTGTGTTGTTGACATGAACACTGAGAATGTAACTCATAACAAAACTAGCAGACATGAAGGAGCAGCAGCAGGAGGTGATGCAGCGCTGACAGGTAATCTCCCCTAGCGCCGCTGAGGCCTCATGCATGCCGGGACCCCGTCCCACAGCGGGCCCCGGACCCCAACCTGTCACTGAGTCAGACTTTCCTGCGCCGTCAGTCTCCCTGTGAGGAGCTGCAGCAGGTGAGTCAGAGAGGCTCAGAGGGAATCTCCCTCCAAGTCTCTGACTCACAGGGAGTCGCTTCGGATCAATTGATTCATCCACCGCCTGACTCTGAGCGGGTCGGGGGCCCGGAGCCACACGCACAGGACACGGAACCAACAGTCATACAGTGTCAAACGGAAAAAATTTGACTGCATGTGAGGTCCAGGCTGCAGAACTGATGCATCGCCTTTTATGACGACATAAATCATTTATGGATCAACCTAAAAGATGTTTTCTAACATCAACATGTTGGACCCTAAAGGTCCAAATCAGGGACTGATAATGTTCTGTTCTCATAGCTCTGAACATTTCCCAGTTCCTCCAGTTGCTTAAACACTACAGACCAGAGATGAACCAGTACATGCATTCCTCCATTCATTATCCCATTCAGCACAGGTGCTTAGAGGCTGCCCGCTCCATCAGTTATCCAGTCCTAATAGTTTGGTTTTTAATAAATTTTTAACATTTATGATTCATTTTATGGGATTGGAGGAAGAAAAAGTAATAAAAACCTAAAGAATCCGCCCAGAAATTAAATCATCAGTAAACATGGTTCCGTTTGATCTCCACTGCAGGCTGTGGAGGATTTGTGGGAGCAGAGAGGAGACGCCATCCACAGCCTGACCTCTGATGCTGGGATGGAAAAAGATGGCGAGGATAAAGTGCGTTACGTTTAGAAAATAAAAGGAACCAGTCGTCATTATGCTCTATGTTCACATGGTTTGTCCATCTTTAGTTTTCTCAGGTTGAGACAACTGGGAAAGCATGTTTTAGTTATTCTGCTCCTGCTGCCTCTAAAACTTAACTAAAACTGTCTGAACTTAGAATTTAAATCTTTTTGTTTGTTTTTATATAAAAGGCCAAAGAAATGCAACAAAACAGAGTGTAAGTCAGTGGAAAACTGCCTATTTAAAATCCACTTGTTTAAACTCCTCATCTATCTCTATAGTTCTGCTGCTATAGGCTTAGACTGCTGGAGGACATAGGGACCCCTTTTTCATCATTCTGCTTCATTCTATCTCTATTCTCCCACTCTGCAGAATCTGTTAGTTCAATCTCTAACGTTCTGCTCTCTCTGCTTTTCTCATTGCTGTGACTCCATCCTGGAGAAAAATATCGGTCTGTTTTCCAGTGTAGTCCTGTTTCTCTGACTGTGACTAACTGGATGTGCTCTCTTCATCCTCTGACATGGGAGCTGGCTCGGAGCTCGTCTGCCTGGCTGTGTGTTTCCTGGACAGGGCCGCCTGTGGAGCTGGTTGACAGTTGCCTTTTGTATCTATGCTTCTTTTTCTATGTCTGCTTCTGTCTCCTTGAACCCCAGTGGGCCTCAGCAGATGGCCGCTCACACTGAGCCTGGTTCTGCTGGAGGTTTCTTCCTGTTCAAAGGGAGTTTTTCCTCTCCACTGTCGCTACAAGCATGCTTAGTGTGAGGGATTGCTGAAGAGTCAATGAGTCGATGCAATCAGCTGGTTTTCCTTAGATAGAAAACTTTGAATCAATCTGACTGGATGATCTGGTGAACTGGAAAGTGACCTGAGATGACATGATGTGAATTGGAGCTATAGAAATAAAGTGAATAGAATTGAACTATACTTTGCTATAACTCAGTTAGTTTTGCATTTATTTCTTTTATGCCTGCTTGCTTCTGTGATTAACTGTATTTTAGCTGTAAACAGGCATTTCTTTTTTTTTTTGTTCTTCTGAGATGCAGTTAAAAACCTCTGGCAGGTCTGCCTTGAAAAAGAAAACAGATCTCAGTCAAATTGGTTTGTTTACAGCTGGTTAAATAAAATGAATTATTACAAAACAAGGCAACAAAAATATTCTTTAGAATGAAATCTGCCACAGAAAACCAATTGTAAAGGAAACATCAGGATGCAATTGCATATATCTATTCTATTCCACAGAAGGAGGGGCCCTGATGCTTCTGAGAAGCGATGGACCTCAGGGCAGCGGTTTAGGGTCTTATAAGAACTTTACTAACCGCTGTTTTTTTGTGCTTTGAGGTCAGACAGCAGAAAACACGTGCTAGATTTGCTCACCCCCATTCTTCAGACTAACCAGAATCAACAGAACATTTCATTTTTATTTCTTGCTTTTTTAATTATTAGCTAATTAATTGTGCAGTCTGTGATTAATTCAGTTCCTAAAGGTTCAGTCAGTCTCGGATCTGATGCTGCTGCAATAAAAAGAACTCATATAAAGATCCATATGAGGCTCAGGGCTATTGATTAGTGCTGCTGTTTTATTTTTGTTAGACATAACGGAGGAGAAACTTATTTCTGACAAGCAGAGATAAATTTATCAGAACTGGACTCAATGACCTCAGTTACAGAAAAACTAACTGGGGCAGGAAATTAATTAAAAATGAAGCTTAACTTCAGAGAAGTGAGTAAAAACAGCAGCTGTGAGGCGGTTACTGAAAAAAAACCAAAGATAGACTTCTTCAGAATTTACCCAGGAA